TTTGGAGTTAGTGAGTTTTAGGCAACTTTTCCCTAATTTTTTACCCCATGTTATTTTTTTATCTCATTACTCATGAGAATGGCATGAGTCAGACTAATAATTATGATATAAATCAAAACAACAACTTAAGAGCTGTGCGGAAAAAGCCATCGGTCACTGACTCACTACCATTTCATACATAATATTCACGAGCTTTGGTAAAGGCTCTGAAAAGAATGCACAGTACAGCATTGAGAAAGTGCTACCTATCTATTTCCGTATGGTTAAGTGTCTATAACTTCTAGGCTGCCCGGGTGACGCCGCGTCGTTGGCAGATAGGCCGACGTTTCGCCTGTCATGTCGCAGGCTTCTTCAGGGTACTGACGAAGCAGTGATGACAGGCGAAACGTCGGCCTATCTGCCAACGACGCGGCGTCACCCGGACAGCCTAGAAGTTATGGACTCGAGCCGCGGAAGCCTACGTGTACATTGGTTAAGTGTCTGTTGGGTGATTGATGCATCAGATTGCACCGAGAGTAATTTAGCAACCAACAGTGATTCCAGTTTTAGTTCTTTTGCCTCAACACAAAATGGAGATACTGTGATTAAAAGAAAGATAGAAATTGTGAATGAAAGCAGAACAAGATTAAAAACTTCATAGTAAAAGGCCTTAAGCATATAAAGAATCAAGGGAAATTTATTCTGGGAAACAAATATGGCAACATTTCTAACTGGTGTAAGAAATGCACAGAGAAATTTTATGAGAAGGAAATAATAATACTAACTTCATTTTGTGATATATTTTCAAAAAATTCATATGACCTATCTGTAAGACCTTATTGATACAAAACCATTGCTAGGAGGCCTTGCAATGAAGAAATAAAATGTAGAAATCTGAATTTTACTTATTATGTGATATCATCCAGAAATGAAAGAAAAAAATGAAAGTATTTAAAAAAGCTTTACTAGTATATGTTGTGATAGAGAAACAAATTAGGCACATCTGTAATTTGTTAGGACAAGGAAATAGTCAACAAGATCTTAGGGACAAATATACCTGTCGAAGAAGTATTTTATTTTTGACAGCACTGGGCCATTTAGAATTTGACAATAAAAACAATTAAGAATTTATACCAAGATACAAAACTAAAAATATAGATGGAAATATACGAGAAGAAATAACAACAAATGTAGGACTACAACAGGGATGCACATTATCTGAAATACTATTTAACTTCTAAATGAACAAGATCAAATCAAGGAAGAAGGAAATAGTAGGTATACCACTATTAGCCAGGACTAGAAAATAAAAAGAATACTCTATGCAGAGGACAAAGCAGTATCAGCAACATCAAAAGACATATTATAAAGAGCAGCTCATAAATTAAATAAACTCACAAAGAATTATAAAATAAAAATATCACTCTCAAAGACAAAGTCCATGGGATTAATAGATAAAGAATACAGCAGAACAAAATTAGCCAGAGAAAATAGAACAAGTGTAATGGTCGATGTTCACAAAGTAGGGGAATATGATATCATTATTAGAGGAAGGTTTGGAATCAAAATTAACAATGCCCAAAAAAATAAATGGAGGCATTAAAAGTTCCTTCCAAAGTGAGAACATTGAGACAAAAATTAGATTGCACAATATTGTTGTAAAACCCATAATATTATATGGTAATGCAATGAAACTGATTCTGAAACAGAAAGTCAAAAAAAGAATCAAAGCTGCCCAAATGAGATATGCAAGATCAATTTTAAATGTTTCAAGGAGAGTTAGGATAAGAAATAAAAAGATCCAGAAAACACAGAGTTGAAAATATTTTCTCAGAAATTGAAAACTTCAAAAAGAAATTGTAAGAACAAATGAAAAGAATGAAGATAGAATGTTTTCCAAGAAAAGTCCCCAAATTCAAACCAAGAGGAAAATGAGACCTTGTAAACCCAGAATGCGCTGGGAAGATTAAGAACACCTTGGAAGCAACTAATGGGATATTGAAAAACCAAAGGAATAGGACAGCAGACCCTATACCTTAAATGTTCATGATGATACTATTACAAGAGTAGGTCTGTAGGTTCTTGCATAGTACATTCACAAGAAATATCAAAGAGAGTTCGCAAACATATCTCTAATTTTAAAGTGAAAGAAATACATTATGGTAATAATACAATCAGATATCGGAATTCCAGACTGAATATCATTGTTATGTATTCATTGTTCATAATCAAACATCCAGATTTAGCAAATATAATGAAGTTTTGTTACTATTCTAAATACTTAGAGAAAATTTTAATATCAGATTTGGAGGACCACAGATTGAAGTTTGTATAAAATGTTAAAAATTAAATCAAAAAATTAGTAGCCTTGTTGTGAATTCCACAGCAATAAAAGTTGCTATTGCAGAGAAAGTGGTTCATATTGGGAGGTTTTTTATGTTAATCAAATGAGATTTACATATAACAATTACAAGAAGAAACATTTGTGATACAATGTGTGGAAAACTAGTAGTGTGGAAGAGTGAATACAGTGATGTCCAATTGTATAAAATTCTAAACCACAAGCAAAAATTTGATAAATAAAATGTGAAACTGTATCACTATTAATGTATTCGATATTTTTAAATACTTTTGTGTGTTTTGAATCTGAAATGCCTTAATGGAAGGGTATTGTAGTATTGTATTTATATCTAAAATACTGTCGATGTACTTTGTAGCCGAAATACTTTCTTCAAGTATTTTGCCCAACTCTGCAGACAGGCAGTAAGCCAATTTCTTGGTATCAAAGATGGATTCTGATGACAATGCATTAGAGGGAGTAATTTACAACATGGAAACAAGAATTTTGCTTTATTGTACAGGAAGCCTCAACATTATCACAGTTTCCTATAAAATCACTCAAAATTTTGGGCTTATACTTTGTCTTTGATTAGTTTAAAAGACACTTAAAAGAATGGCTTAGATCTTATTTTCAATCAAATCTCTAATTCCTAAAAAATTGCGAAAGTTACTCATTTCTTTCGGTATATTCCTACAACCACAACATTGAAGATGGGGATATTTTTTAAGAAATATTTTGTTCACAAAAGCTCTTGAAATTAGCTTGTGTACATTTTTTCCGAAATTTTGCGTAATTTTTTGTAAAATATAAATTTTTAATATTTTTGAACAATTCTTTCTGCTTCAATTATTTCTTGTCATATTTTCTCCTAATATTATGAAAGAGCAGTATAAAAAAAATGTGCGTTTCATTTCTGGCGAGCTCTCTGTTATTTCAAAAAGTTAACTTTCCAAAACTTGCAATATTGAAGATAGCATTTGTATCTTAAACATAATAGGTCCTAAAAAAAGTCTTAAAAAAATGTCATGTACAATTTATTTGAAAATTGTTCACGCAACACCTGCTTGAAATTAATACAATTCGCAAAAAAAATAAAAAAGCTCCAATTTTTTTCTTTTCAAAAGTTTTCCACTAACAGAGCAAGAGACGCTTAAAAGAATAGAAGTAATCCACCAAAGAATATGATGTTGTAGCATTACTAGTCTGTTTTTCCAGTAATGTTACGTTTTAATGATTGATGCCGTTTTCATTCTGAAGGATTCAATTAATAGAACCCTGATAACTCAACTAAAACTCAGTAAAGGCACGCAAGAATCAGATCGCACTCAAAAACATAGCACTGTTTCGTTGACAAGTTCGAACAGTGTTCGGATGGCCCGTTCCCCGCCAGGCAGAGCCGACAACCGTTGAGCAGCCGAGTCCTCCGTTTTGACACCCTTGGGCCGAGGTTAACTTAGGGCCCCCTACTCTTACTTTCACCGATAGACCCTGCCCCCCCCCCCAGTTTCGATGCTCAAATATAAAGAAAATCCTATCAATTCACATTGTAATTTGTACTTTTTTTAAAAACATTTTGAAAGTATTTCTTAGTGTTGCAATTTATCGTTATTCAAAGAAAAAATTTAAACGTGATTGTGTAAGTAAGAAAACACATTTATAATTACATTAAAAAAGACTACTAATTAAATAGTTTTAATTTTTTATTGAATTGTACAATACAAAATTGAAACGCAACATTGCATATTATAAATATTATCCAAAGTCGTTCCAGACATTACTCCGTTATGGCAATTGTTGTGTATAGTTTAATCATCCATTATTTTAAATACTTTTTCTAATTTTATTTTCTGAATAGTTTAGTATCATATTTATTTTTCATAACTATCGGGAGTCCTGGGCCCAGCGATTCTCCGAACTTAGCGAAGCCACTTACTGCACATCGCCAAGGCTACCAATCGCTACGACCCCTAAGGCCCATTTACAATGCAAACGTTAACATAAGCATAGCGCATAGACGAAAACATTAACATAAGTGATAGACTGAAGTATTCGAAATGTCTAACATAAACGTAAGCAAAATAAGAGTTTTGAATTGAAGCCTTATTTTACGTGGCGAGACTGTCCATCAGGCCCGCTCTTCCGTCTGACCACGCAAATTTCGCTACGCTCCTTTCTCCCACTAGCGAAGAAAGGAGGTATTTCTTGGGCGACCAAACAGGCGATTTGAATTTAGCTCAGAGGCTACGTCATTTAGGCTTGAGAATCTTTTACATGCAAGTGAAAGGCTTTACTTCCCCTCCCAAGAGAGGTGAACGAAGGATTTTTCTCCCTTAGAAACGCAGGGCTTCCAACGGGTTTGATTGAACCCGCCAACACTCCAATACGCTAACAGTGGCGCCATCGCCGCCGCTATTTCTAGAGCTTTATTGGCCGTGAGACATTCTATTTCACTATTGGTTGGGTGTGAGTATCGATTTCGAGGTATGGACTGTGTCCATGGCCCAGTCACTATGGCGTTAGTCTATCGACTTCGTTCAAATTTAGATTCTCGATTTTGAGTTACCGTTCTATGATTGGTTCATTTCTTATGTCTTACGTCAGCATAAGCACAGAAGCTTGTAAGCTTTTGGGTTAACGTCTTACGTGTTATGCTTACGTGTTATGCGAACGCACTGTGAACAAGTCCGCTTATGGACGTAGTCCTAACTTTTATGTTAACGCCTTGCTTATGTTCATGTTTGCATTGTGATTGGGCCTTTACAGTCACCGCGAACTCTCGTGCACGTCGCAGTGAGCTCTCGATTCGATTCGATTCGATTCGATTCGATTCGATTCGATCAGCAGATATCACCAATTCCTTTGCAATCTCGTTTTATTATTTCTCGACAACTTCATAACTGATGGGGAGTTTGTGCATCCTCGAACGTTAAAGCACTATCGATCTTCTGCGCATGCGCAGATGCGCTAAAGTGATGAGCAATAGACTGCTCATGCGCAGAAGGTAGTGATAACGTTCAAGGGTGCACGAACAGACTAATATTAGAGTGTAATTATTTTTCTTGGTCTTCGACGCATCTAAGGACGACGAAACACCTTACTACTTACCAATAAAGATTTTACGAGAACCAGGGCGATATAGAATTTCATTTTTTATGCCCTTCATTTTTAAACACACTACTTTTTCCAAAGTTTTTATGTGTTCTCATGCTTCATTTTAGTCCAAAAGTACAATTACAAAAATTCCTCGCATGTTCTATTTTAGTTTGAAATTCCATTTTCATAAATATGTACTAAAATAAACATCAAATGAAACATACTTCTTTAACATAAATTCCTCTTTTCAATATAAAAATTAACTCTTCTCAATAGAGTATTCATAATATTTGTTTTTTTAAACATGAAAAGAGTGAATTCATTTTAATTATTTCCATCATATACAACTTCTTTTTATGAAAATACAAAAGGTACGGAAATTCAATCTAACCTAACAAACTTTGGGTAACCACTAAGTAGCAGCTCCTGTAAGTAATTCCATCAGTCTCGTTTCGTGTTCAAAGCGCCTGCCTATGGAGGAAAGACACGCACGTACCTCGGCCATGCCCGAACAACTAGGCGACGCCCCACGTGGCGAGCGCTCTACACGCTCGTCCCATTCCGCGCCATTTCGCAACGCGCCAAAGCCCCCTACGCTGCTTTACCCTGGAAGGCCGGCAGATGCACGAAGGCGGTGACGAGGCGGTCCCTGACGCAGCGGGGCGCCAGCCGCATGGCCGTGTGGTACACGTTGTAGCGGACGGGCGCGTTCACGTACTGCTGCTTGGGCCACAGGGCGAGCAGGCAGCACTCGTACTTGAAGTAGAGGCGCGGGTCGCGGATCTCGGCGACGCCCTTGTCGCCCGCCAGCGCCTGCAGGTAGCGGTGGAAGGCGCGGAAGTGGTCTTCGTAGTAGGCCCAGTCGCGCGGCCGCTCTCGGCGCAGCTGCCGCTCCATCTCGCGCGCGTGCTCCTCGTGGCGAGCCATGATGTTGCTGCTCGTGCTGGGGACAAACAGAAACGAACAGGCGCTCGCCTTCATAAACGCCGACTTTCAACGGACGGCCTTCGTCGAGTGCCTCTTGTCACACATATACACACACCGCATTTCTCTTCAACCCGTTTTGGTACACTTTGCGAATTTTATTTCTTCCGTAGACGTAAACATCCTAAACAAAACATATAAGCGTCTTCTTCACTTCTAAATGCCAGAAGTCGATTTAGCCGTGATCGCTAAAGCGTTGTATACCCCTGGCCGTGCTTAGCTGCTTAACGCCTGTGGTTAATTCGGAGGGCGGGGCCGGTGTAAAGCAAACAGTGGTTTGTCCGCACCGAAGTTGACGGGACATACGCAGCTAAGGCTAAACGGTTTTGCTTTTCCTTATAGCGAAAAAAAACGCTCATAAACCAACGATTTGCGCGTTCGAGTGCTCTAGTAATGCAATTTAGCAACAACAATTGGTTAGCACAAATGTTGCAAAAACCTGCTCCAGAGGGCTCCATCGGCTCCTGTGAGCGCAAAACGCGACAACAAATGGCGAGCGCCATGCGAACAAAATTACTTCAGGCATTAGAGGCTTAATATTGTGACACAACAAACATCAAACGTAAAGAATCAGATGAAACGGACGCAGACCAGATGTTTTTGCTGCATAGCGTTCGACAAAAGCCGAGAAGCAGCAGGAATAAACTCTTTTCTGCCCTAAGCGAGACTCACTTGCACAGGCTCGCGATCTTTTGTGGAAGGAAGTGTCCGAGGGAACTGGGAGCCGAGAGAGGCAGCTAGCGAGAGAAATCGCTCCATAGATCATCATATACAAACACTAACATATCGTTTACAGAGTTGGGTTTTCTCTAGGGCAAATTATGCTCGCTGCAAGGGTGTGTACTTATCGGCCTGCGAGCCCGAAGGGACGGCTACCTACATTCGCAAATGAGGGTAGAATTACGGCGCGGCGAAAGAATCTCGTGCATGACTGGGTGAATTAAAGGGGTGGCGCTGGATTGGGAGGTGCAGCAGAGGGGAGAAACAAGGCCTCGCGATCGCTAGAATCGATTGTTCTCAATGCTCATCAGATTGTTTGTTTGTTTGTTTGTGATTACGCGCGCGTCAACTACTGAGCTCATTACTCCCGTAAGTGCAGTACATGTTTTGTCATCAGGAGGTGGCGGTGACATTCCACCGCTGGATGGCGAGATCCGGCTTGCAAGGTTTTCTCCAACCATGCATCTCCTACCAACGGGACACCATTCCAGCTGCAACAAGCTCTATGTTTTCGACCGGAATCCCGGCAAGTGTGGTAGTGTAGTGTATATAAGTATGTGGGTGTAAGGGGGTGAGGATAGGACAAGGAAGAGGAAGGAAATATCGAGCGCGGTTCGTCGCCCGTTTGAGGGTGCTGCTTCAGCATTCGCCTGGTGTTGAACGGAAGAAACACGGAAAACTACCGGCCTCTAGAATTCCCCTCCACAGTGACTAAAGAGAAAAGCCAGGAAAGCAATAATGCTAACCCATGCAAAATAATTGTTTCGAGAACTGTATTATTAACATAAAAAAATAAATCCAAAGTTAATTGAATCTGTGTACTAGAAATAAGTAAATTGATTAAAATAGTATCTATGATCATTGCGATATTCGGAACCTCGACGCGCACGCCGTGCCTGGCCTGCTCCTCACGCAGAAGGAAATAGAGGAAGGGAGGAAGAGAGAGGGAAGGGAGCCAAAGGGGCGCGGGCGGGGCTCAACTGAAGCTGCCCGGCACGAGCGTGACGACGCGCACGCCGTGCCTGGCCTGCTCCTCGCGCAGAAGGAAAGAGAGGAAGGGAGGAAGGGAGAGGGCAGGGAGCCAAAGGGGCGCGGGCGGGGCTCACCTGAAGCTGCCCGGCACGAGCGTGACGACGCGCACGCCGTGCCTCGCCTGCTCCACGCGCAGCGCCGCGCTCCACGCCTCTAGCGCCGCCTTGGTGGCCGCGTAGGGCGCCAGCCCGGGCAGCGCCTCCAGCGCGCAGTGGCTGCTCACCGTCACCACGCGCGCAGCGTGCTCGCGCAGCAGCCCGCACAGCGCATGCGTCACGCGCAGCGGCCCCCACAGGTTCACCTGCGCACGCGCACCAACCACTGCGCTTAGTTGATTCCTCCGTGCCTTCCACTACTCAAGCGAAACGTCATATCACGCTATACGACTAATCACTGTTTTCGTTTTTGGGGGTATTCGAGTAATAACAGTAATATAGGTGTTGTGGTGCGTTATCGTTGGCATTTTTCATGAAATATTTATAGAAGTCATTGCCAACAATAGTACTACTATAGCAATACTATTGTTGGCAATGACAACGTCTTTAATTATTTCATAATAACAGTAATCCAATACCGAGAACATTCAAACAATGAGTAATGTTTTCGTCGATCTGCTCCGGTTTTCGACTTGGCACGGTTTTTAATTTACAATAAGTATTTATTTAGCACTCCGTCGTCCCAAAGAACTACACCCAGCCCGCCCTTACTTGGATCTGCTGCTCGATCTGGCGCTCCGTCTGCCAGGCCAACTCCCCAAAGATCTACA